CACTGGAGATTTTAGAGATGTTAGACAGACATCATTATCTGTACTTACACAACCAGACCATGGAGGAAACAGAGAAATCACTTCCAGCCTTATGCTCTGTGAACTTCTGCTTCAGAAAAAGAGGAAAAAAAAACCCAAAAAACAAAAAACACCACACCACCAAAAGCCACAAACAAGTAAAAAACAACCAACCAAAAAAACCCACAAAAACCCCCAAAACAAAGCACCGTAAGACTCACTGCAGAAAATCAGTTTTCATACTGAAATGTTAGACTTTTGGAGAACAGTTCGTGTATTTCACTTATTCCTAAATTCAAAATCAAGCAATGAGTAGCTCCACTAAGTCTACAATCTCAATAAAATTAATAGTTTCTGCCTGTAAGCTATGCACAGATTCCAGTCCTACCCATCCTAAATCATCACCCAGCCTGTTTTATTCAGTGCATAAACATTTTGTTACAAGTGTAACTTTACACTCAGCTCACAGCCCTGGCTACAAAGTTATATTCTGCCCAAAAAATGACAGCACATATTCATAGCACAGCCAGACTGAGTCCAAACACAATGCAGCTCCAGCACCAGGCACTCTGTTGTTAGGAATAAAACATTTCTGAAGAACACAATATAATTTTCTTGTCTCTCTGGTGAGAAAGGCAGGGGAAGATGGTATCTTCCAAGGAAACAATGCCACTGACTATACAAACTACTGATAAATACTCAGTGAAATATAAAAAGGAAGGGGAACAACAACATAGATGTTAACAATTTTTTTTTACAGAAATTTGTAGTAAGTGCTAGGAAGATGCCATCAAAATAACCACTTCAACAAACTTCACTGTAAGAAAAATTTTAAGAAATACAGTTCTGCTTCCCTCTTTATCCAGGGTGAAGTGAGGTTGGCCTGCCTTCATCAGAGAAGGATAGGAAGACATGGTTCTTTTGAGGGTAAAACCATTTACATTGGAGCAAGGTACCTGTGTAATGTCTCAGGGCTTGAAATTTGGGTTCCTTGGCCACCAGATGAGCACAGCTTCCACTTCTTCACAGGCTGTACCCACACTGCACACTGCAGTACCCCAGTACCGAAGTGTGCATGGAAACTGGAAGCACTCGAGCTGAAATATCACAGAGGCTCACGCAGGCTGATTTACCCAATGGAAAAAAGGCTCTTCCCAGCAGGGTGAATGGCTCTGTGCAGAACCCTGGGCTTTCACAGCTACACAATTCCTTTACCAAACAGACAGCCCATGAAACCCCAGCCTGGTGTCCAGGCTGTGCTTGTGCCCTGGTTATCCCTCAGGCATACCAGGTGCTCCTCAAGCCAACAGCCTGGTTTCCATCTCCCAGGCTGAGATTTCTGAGATGGCTCCCAACACAAACAAAAAAATAAACTGCATTTTTAGGCTACATTTGAAAAATCCATAAACACTGGGTATAGCTCTAGTAAATAAGTAGAACTTGGGGTGCAGATAATTCTAAAAAAGCCCCACTGTTTAATATGCAAGATACACAGAGTCAGTTACTAATTCGAAACACTGAATTAGAAGAACTGAGTTGAATATCCAAAGCAGAATTTTCCTCGTGTCACCCAATTCATATTTCAAACAAATTATATTGAGACACTAAAGTAACTTTAACCAGCAAGACAGAATTAGATAAAGATTCTTTGGTTCACTCATTTTAATTAATAATTAAAATTATCATTTAAAAAAACCAGCTCAATCTCCATCCAATTCCTTTCATGCTTTAATTTTTGCAGCCCTATTGAACCACATAAATACAGAATTACGAAAATACTCCCCAAGATAAAAGGATATTCTGTTTGCCTTAATTTTCACCTTATACTTTCTGCAAATAATTTACACACTAGACAATGGAATGCTGTCTACCCCGGATATGTATGCAGAAGGAAAAGTGGTTCAGTATTGCATATCACAGAACGTAAGCAAGTGAAATGAGGAAAGATTCTATCTTTAATATCTGGTCCCTACAAACACCCAAACAAAATTCTTTCACAATACTGAGGAACAGCTTAAAGGTTCACCAAACACCTCTCCAGGCACAAACCCTCCTGATTAACACACCAGAATCCTCTACAATATAAAGGCATATATAAATACGTCTCATAGTTCTAAACAAAAGATTTAGAAATAGGTATTTCAAATAACTTGAGGAATAAAGAACAAATTGTTGAAAACCATTTTGGTCCAATACTGCTTCTTAAACTTCTACCCAAGACTGCTGTCAGTAAAATGTCCCCACTGAAGCATTTCTCTTTACAAGGAGTGATACATTATTTAAATGCAGACTTACCAGACAATTGTTAAGATCTGTGTTTTACAGAGGAAACCAGTAATATTTTCCTCCTAATAATCAGCAAATATTTTTGAATCTAGAGCTTGTTCTTTATTATATCTTCAGCTACAAAGGGGAAGGAAAAACCACATTCTTTCTTCATTCATATTCCAGATTATGAGTGGAACTATCATCTACAGCCCCAGAGTAAATATTTTTTTGTCATCTTCTTTATTCATCTTTTTATCTTCCCTTTCTCATCCATACTACAGCCAGGTCTTTGTGGAGCTCTCCCCAGAGAGGTTCAGATATTCTCCTCCAAACATAAATTTAAAAACCTGTTATCAAAATACTTTCCCTGTGTTGTCATGATTTTGCATTTATAGGCACTCAATTCTATACACTGCTGAGATACAGTATCTGTTCCCTAATCAGAAGAAAGAATTAATAGGGGTTTCAAGGCTACAAAGGCAGCATTTTCACTCTGATGGGAGCGTACAGTTCATACTTTGGGGGAGGGGAAGAGAAGAAAGAGTGTTGGCTCTTTCATGAACATAAAAGGGCAGAATTACACATTAGTGTAGCTTCCCCATGTATAGACATTTTTTTCTGAAATGCAGTGTAAACTTAAAATCAACCATTAGCTTCTTTAACTAAAGCTTAAATCACCCATGTAATTACTTTTACAGAGGATTATGACCAAGTTTTTTTTAAATGTGAATTGCTAAAATTTCACAATTAAGAAATAAATCACAATGGGAAAATATGTTCCTATTCACAAAACAACCAACCAAGCTGCCCATCGTTAATACCCTTTTCACAAGGCAGAACTGAAATACTGGGAATGCTGTTGCCGGGTCAGAATTGAAGTGAATTGGGTAAACCGTGCCAATGGGCTCTTACAGCACCTGCCCAGCCCTTGGCCTGGTACAAATCTGTACTTGCTCCTTCAGTAACCTTTCTTCATCAGGGCACAGAAATTACCAACTCACTGAAGTTTTCACAAAGGCAAAAAAAAAAAACAACCTTAAAAAAATACATTTGAAAGAAAAGTTGAGATGCTGAGCATTTTTGATTCATATATGCTTTAATACCAAGATTTTTGACCTTCAGAAGTCCCTTCTCTCAGGAAAAAAAAAAGAAGAGGGGGAAAAAACAAAAAACACTCTTCAGAAACGACCACAGAGAGACGCTGCAGACATCCTTCTAAAATAATGGCAGTCAAAGGTCAGGATGATATAGGGAACATCAAGCTTTTCATTTATGAATCTTCCTGAAAGAGACCTCTTAGTAAGCAGAAGCAAGAAAATCAGGGATTATCCAGTCAGAGTGATGCAGAAACTGCCTAAACGTGTTTAGACAGGATCTTCCTAATAATGACACCAAGTATCTTCAACTCGGAAAATTTAATTTTAACATCTCACTGAACTATAACAAGGAAACTACCATTAGCTTGTTGGGTCATCTTAGCAAGATTCAGCAATTTTCCCATGAAGATTCACTTATGAACTATAGCCAGCAGATTCCAAAATAGCACGAAGAAAAGCAAGCACTGCAGATTGGATCCCAATCAGTAAAACGACAGAAAAGTCGTAGGAGTCTTCCAAAAGTGCTGGAAAATGCATACTGCAAGAACAATTGGTATTCCTGCCTAACAAAGCTGGGTTACACTCGAAGGCTCCAACATGTTAATCTGTCACCGTGACAGAAAAGCAAAGGATGCCAGACCAACACACATCTCTCTTCCAACACCCGGCCTATCTAACACTGAGCTTCCGAACACAATTAAAAATAGGACTAGAGTGTCCAAATATATGAGTAAAGATGCTCTTAGCATTTCTGCTTCCAACTTCTTGTTATAAAAAAAGTACCCTTCAAAACCTTTCAGCATTCCTTAATGGTGGTTTTTTGTGTTCTATAATCACAAGCGACAAAAGAAATAGCTCCATATTTGCTTCAGACCTCTCCAAGGGGAAAAAATATACACATTACAGTAATTCTGTTACAAAACTACAGCACATGTGTAAGGCCCCGAGAAGCACCGATGCTGATAAAATTAAAAATGGCTGTGCCCGAAGATCCCACAGCAAAACAGGCACAGCTCTGCTGACGATTAAAATATATATTAAAAATTCCTGCATTACCTTACAAAGGGCGAGGTATGCAAAACAAAAAGACTATATATATTTCCAAAAGCGAACTAAGTTATTAGACAAGAGATGCAGATCTAAGCAAAGCATTCTTACTGAGTGCAGGTCGAGCTCATTTACACAATAAAGCTGATTTTATTCCCCGAGACACTTAACGTATCAGGATTTCAAAACTTTTATCAGGCTTCGCCGCTGAAATAGATGCACACCACTCTGTAAGGAGGCACAGATGTGCCCAAATACCAGCGGACCCCACCCCCTTCCCGCTGCCAAAATGGCCAGTTCGTTCCACCCAGTGGCTACTCACCAGCCGCAGTGCCGAGCAGCAGGGTGGCACTGGAGAGCAGGAGCACCAGCACAAGGTGCTGCAGTGAGGCAGGCATACCTGGGCAAGCCACGGTTCGAGCCGGCAGGAGAAAAATAAAAGGGGTAAAAAGAAAAAAAAAAAAAAAAAAAAAAAAAGCCAAACCCCGAAGAGAGGAAATTCCTCCTGCTTTCGCACAGCCTTCCTTAACTCTCTCGGTTTACAATCCCCTCTGGAAGGGCAAATGGCAGATGAGAGGAGCCGTCTTCGCTCTTACTCCATTACAGCCGCCTGCCTTCATGACTGGGGAGCCGGCAGCGCTCAGCGGACACGGGGGAAGCGCCTGGCTCTGCCCGCCAGCCCCGAGGCATCTCCCCCGCCGGGGAGGACGGCGGCACGCTCCCGACCCCGCTGGGAACCGGGCTATTTCCCACGCAGCTTCACGACATCGAAGAAAGCGCCCGGTTGGGAAGGGAACATATCCAGACGCGCCCACAGCGGTGTCAGTCAACGCGGGCCCTGCGGGCTGGCCGGGGCACGGAGAACGAGCTAGGGGCTCACGGCGGCGGCGCGTCCCATCCCGGCAAAGGTCTCTGTCCTCTGGCCGCCCCTCCTCGCTGCCTCACGCTCCGGGGAAGGCGGCGGCGAGGCCCCCTGCTCTCACGGCGAGGGCTGCGGCCGCATCCCGGCCCATCTGCCGCCCGCGCCGGGCGGGCTCCTCCGCGCTGCCCCGGCCCCCGCCGCAGCACCGACGCCACCCCCGGCCACCCCGACAAAGGTGGGGCCCGGGGCGGCGAGGCCCCTCCTCGGCGGCTCCAGCTGCGAGCGCACCCGGCTGCTCTCCGCGGGCGAAGGCCCTTCCCCTCCTCCGCCTCCCGCCCCGAGTTTCCACAGCGCTGGGCAGCCTGGCCCGGCCTCCTCACGCCGGTCTCCGCTCAGCCCCTCCGCGCTGCCAGCGCCTTCCTCCCCCCGCGCCGGGCTCGCCGGCGAGGGGCCGCTCCGCCTCCTTCTCCTGCTCGCCGCCGGCTGCGGGCGGGAGCCGAGCGAGGGCCGGAGCTCCGCCGCCCGCGCCCCCTCTCGCCCGCCCGCCCAACAGCACGGGCGGCTCCAGACACAAAGGGGAGTCGCTGCAGCCGCCGGCCCGGGCGCCCGTCCCGCCGCACCGCCCCCGCCGCCCGGCCCCGCCCCGCACCATAGAGGTGGCTCCAGGTAGGCAGAGCGGGGCCGCCGGGCGGAGCTCCGCTGGCTGAGGGAGGGGGCGCGGGCCGAGGGCTCGCCCGGGTAGGGGAGCTGAGGGCGAGGGGCGGCTCCGAGAGAAGGGGAAGGCCCCGCTAGTCCTTCCCGGGAAGGCCGCGGGAAGGCGGCGTGCCGTGCCCGTCATGCAGCCTGTCTGTGCGAGAGGCTGTCAGCGGGGGGGCGTGAGCTTAGGATTCACAAAAAAACGCCTGTAACAACAAGAAAAAAATGTTTAGCAGTCTCTGAGATTGCGTCATGTTTGAACTCGGTGGCCTGCCTGTCAGGCACCCCGGAGCTTCTGCCTTGTCCTCGGGTTCAAGCCCCCGTTATCTCTGTCCCTGTGAGCTCCCCTAGGAGCGCTGGCCGTGCCACCTTCTGCTGTCCCTCGATGAGCCCAGGCAAGTCACAGAAACACAGATCAGTTCGGTTGGAAAAGACCTCTGAGATCATCGAATCCAACCTGGGACCGATCACCACCCTGTCAGCCAGACCATGTCACTAAGTGCCACTTCCAGTATTTCCTTGAACACCCTTAGGGACGGTGATTCCATCACCTCCCTGGGCACCCTTTCCCTGGAGAACTTCTTCCTAATGTCCAATCTGAAATCCACTCAGCTCGTATGGCTTCAGCCACCTGACTCTCCCAAACAAAACCATTATCTACCTCTTAAATTAAAGAGATTTTATGATTGCAAAACAAAGATAAAGTGAGCCCACTCAGCTGTTCGTATGCTTTAACCTTTGCTATATTGCACAGGACCAAAGAGATATATTGAGGGCAGCAGCTGATGGGAGAACTGACTGGAATGTAGTGTCTGATGTTCTGGCCTAGCAAGGCTCTTTCAAACAAGTTTTACTGGCTGAAGCATAGGAAAAAAAAGTTCTTAAGTACACCCTGCACACCGAAGGCACCTTCATATCTGGGCATCACCAAAGGTTTGATTTTGGAAAACGCTTCCCTGTGCCAAAATTCCTGTAACAGTTTCAAGAGTGGAATACAAGTTCAGAAATCCAATTCCACACCTCAAAATATTGAATGCTACTACATAAAATGGTGTAGTTGCAAATCAGTGTTACGATTTTAGTGAAAATAAAAGTTTTCTGCATAATTCCATTCCTCTTCACAAGCTGTAACAGATGAAATAGATGTAATCTGATACTGTGATCATCAAGAGAATTATTAAATAAATCATACTAGGATTTTCATCATCGTGATGCTTTGACCAGGGTCATAGTTTGACATTCCTAGGGTCAAGGTGAATTTACACTGATAGTTATAAAATGTTTTTAACGTTTTCTACAATATTTTTACTTTCAATCTATGCAGATCTAACATGGATATTGGTGAGACAATAAAATATAGCATCACAGATTGTAATTTCTATTGCTACTTTCCAGAATTGTAACCACATGTTAACCACAATATCCTTCCTGTTTTTTGTGGAATATGAATGTCAAGAAATAACATTTAGAAGCAACACCAACACCAACTATCCCCACCCCAACAGCTAGAACAGTTTTACTTCCAAGAGAGGAAAAAAACCCCAACACTGAATATTTTTTCTGCAGCACCAAAATCCAGTGGTCTTTTCTGGTTCCACAGATACCAAACTATGCTACACACCTTCTGCCCAGCTACACCTACCAATAAAAGAAATGAGATCTACTTTGTTCAGAGAAAACAAGAACCTTGCCATGTGGGTTGCACAGCACTTTCACTGTTTAGATGGTAAAAGAAAATTACTGTAATTGTTTATGACATGTATGAAAACCTGCTCAGCCTGAAGTAAATGACAGAGGTCTCACTTGGTTCTAGTTTTGGCTCATTCATTAATACTAGGAGTTCTTCTCCACAAGAAATTGTACAAAAACATATTCTGCCTTAAAATGTTTTATTTCTTTCCACAAAATGGATTGGATTTTTGTTCTGTGTTTTCCTAAAATGAAGGGAAAAGACGTGCCATTTTTAATGCCATTATTTCCTTTTAGTTTCACAAAAAACCTACACCTGATCAAGAAAACACCCTACAGAAGGGCATGAGGCTGTGCATCTGCTCTGCCTGAGTTTATATCAGGCCCTTACACTTATCTCACACACTTGCCATCACTCCAATTTGTAAGAATTTCCCCCCTTCCCTAAGCATTTGGAGTGCTGTCAGTGCTCTCTGCAGGGGCCAGGTCCCGGTATGGCTGTGAAGGCTGCAGGGCTCTGGTCACACAGTGATGGCCCCGGTCACACAGCGATGGCTCTGGTCACACAGTGATGGCCCCGGTCACACAGCGATGGCCCTGGTCACACAGCGATGGCCCTGGTCACACAGTGATGGCTCTGGTCACACAGCGATGGCTCTGGTCACACAGTGATGGCCCTGGTCACACAGTGATGGCCCCGGTCACACAGCGATGGCCCTGGTCACACAGTGATGGCAGGCAGAGGTGCAGAGCCGGAGCTGCTGCACCGCAGTGTCCCCGGAGCTGGCAGGGCCGAGGAGGGGCTGACCCCTGCCTCACCGCACAGATGATCGCTGACAGGCAATCGCTGCTGTCCAAGCACAGAAACTGCTTCCTTTTCCCACGGTGCTGAGAGGAAACCAGAGATCCAAACTGTCACAGGCTTGCTCATTGTTATGTGCTTGGACAAGAACATATTTATAATTCTTCCTGTGATGTTGTTTTATCTGTAAGCTAGGATGTCGCTCTCCTAATATTTAGCAATACCCAGTAAGACTTACAGAAAAGTAGTCAGGATAATAAAAACTTGCAGAGCTGCAGGACAGTAAATCTGTGGTGCAGGTAAAGGTAGGGGGGAGACAAGAGACAGCACATCAAATTTACCAAGATTTAGAAGACAGTATTCTGACTGAAGCACTGTATTTCCACTAGGAAGAACTCTGACCAATGAAACAACACTATTGAACTTACTGCAGATAAGACTGTTAAAAAATATGAGGAGGAAAGACCTTAGGAAGCAGATGGTCTTTGCAGCTGTGTTCAGTGTTCTCCCAGCCAGGCAGGGCAAGGCTGACCCAGCACCACGGTCATGGGGCAAGGACAAGGAGGACAGTGGCAGAGAAGCCAGGGTCTGCTGGCTGGAAGCTCCCCAAGATGCAGGTCAGATACAGCAGGGGACGTGGATCTTGCCCTTGGCTGAGGGAGCTCTGAACAGCACAGGCACAAACAGCGTGTGGGGGTTGCCCTTTGCTTCAGTGAGACACAGAGGGCAGAAATGCAGCTGATAGGAGGCTCAGGAGTGTCCCGCTCTGGCTCACACTGATGCAGACACAAATATGTTGATATCACTGGCAAATTCAACACTGCACGTTAACGTGGCCTTGTTAGCAGCATCTCCTTTAAACAACACGCATCTTTGTTTTTAATTAACTGGAATAAGGGAAACTATTTTCATGCTACCAAGAGAGTATTCCAATCAGTGTAAAATAAGATGAACAAAGAATGAAGAAAACTGAAATGGACTATGAAACAATAGCTTGAGTTTCATTTCTTTTCAGAAAATCCAATGTTCATGCACTTTAAAAAGATTTCTCAGGGTAGGTTCACTGTTATCCAAGAGTTTTTCAGCGCTGATGCAATATAACTGTTATCATCGTTAGGACTCAGGGGACTGTTCTTTTTGACAGGGCCTTTCATGAAGTCAACAAATCAGTTTAAAACAAGCCATAAATTATATTTGGCTGCCTGTCAGCTTGGCTGGGGTGTTCTCCCAGTGCTGCCGTAAGTGTTGGGGAAAGAATAAAACAACACATCCAGATATTTAGGTTTTAGGGGATATTTTGTTCCTAATTTAAAAAGAAAGCATTCCCATAGCATTGACTCTGATGCATCAACATACGTTAGAACAGTCATCAAGATTTTTACAGACTTCCCTACAAATTAATTTACCCATTCTGGATACTAAGTGATAGCTCAGTAAATACTGGACTCGGTACAGATCTCCCCAACAAATGCCTGCCACTCATTGCTAAATTAGGGAACTGTCAGCAAGATCATCTCCCCAGTCCTGCTCCTGTATGTGGTGAGAGGGGTGGCTCCTGATAGATGGGATCCAAGCCTCCTATAGCTCTCTAGATATTATGAACATCCTGAATTGCAGCCAGAACTCACTGAAAAGACAATAGTGTCTACTTACAGTCTGCTGAGTTAGCAGTACAGCTTCAGCCAGTGCAGCCAAACAAGTAACCACACGCCGACGTCATTACCTTTGGAAGTGTTCAGTTACTTGTTTTATATAGATTTTCCCATCAGTGTCCATCCTGGGTGCTGCAGAGTGGCATTAACACACCCTCACAAGTCCCCTTGGAGCCAGGGTACGGAAGGTGGCTGTGGGGAGACCGCAGTTACAGGGAAGTAGGCACATGCGCATAAGAAAAAAACGATGAAACCTCTGGAGAATTCAGAAGCAATCTGAACACAAAAGTACCTTCCTCAGTCATGAAAGTTTCCTCGGGAATAGGGAAAGGCACCCTCTCTTTCAGAGCCTTTTTACAAACTACCAGCATCACTTTCATCTTGTCTGAATTATTGTTGGGTTTTGCTGCTTTTCCGGGGCTTGGTATTATCCTGGAAAAACAGATTCTACAAAGGAGGGATAGAGGGACACCAAGCCACGACCAAAATCCCAGAGAAGTCCTTTGTGGGGTAAAATCCTTTTCTTTCTGTTCTTTATGATAGGCAGGAAAAGCTGTATCCACAATGGTCAGCCTGTCCTACCAAGATGTGAGAATGGCAAAACCTCCTGTGGCATCACATACCAGACCAGGCTCTCATTCTCCCAATTCTACCAAAAGTAGTAAGGAAATAGTAAATCAAATTCCCTGCCTCAGAGGGAATTAATTCCCCCTTTATTCCAGTTAAATAACCTGTGCCAGACATTACTTTTGGCCTTTAGACTCATAAAAATCTGTCTAAGGGCTGTTATGATTTCATTTTTCTTTGTCTCTGAGGCACAGAAAAGAGCACCTACTGTTAAGCTTTTGAAAAAAACATTTATGAGTAT